CTAATACACACAACAGCATTGACTGCCTCGGTTACACTGCGTTGGTTTAACCTTGTTTCCGAAAATTGAGAGCATTTTTGGAATATACCCAGTCCTGCCCGAGTAGTCATGCTACTTTCCAGCACCGGACCATTCACTTGTCTGACGGGTTGCCGGCATCATAGTCATCATGCTTTAGACAGTGCTACAACTGTCTCCCGTTTACCACCTATTCACACCTCTCTGTGGCAACTTTGACGAGCTGTAGCTTGATGCAAAGACTGGCAGGACCCAGTGAGGATGCCGGCGCAACGTCTGGGCATGTACCAACTTCGATGGCAGAGGACTTCGGGCAAGGCCGCCCTACAACACGACCGAGTCGCGAGAACGAGGTCAGACCACTTCCCACTTCATATGACCTACTCACCACCAATTCACACCTCTCTGTGACTGTGTTTGCTCCAGTGTCGGCCAGGCGTGTGTCACTCCGGGTGGATTTAGTAAAGCGTATTCGCCTTCGCCATCGGTTTCAGGTGTCGGTTGAAGGGCTTTCAATCAACTTGTCGACCATTCGCTGCTGAGAGAAGAGGCTGCAACGATTGAACGCAAAAGTGGTCGACTGGATTACCTTTGCTTGTCGATTTGATCAATTACAACTTTGCGCTAAGGCTGCTGCCCCTCATTGACGAGGTCGATTGCGATGCTGATGAAAGGTCTGCGATTGTATCGAGTCAACGGTCCGATGCTGGAAAGTCGCGTGACGACTTCTGGTATGTCCCGCACGGTCGTCGCCATGTTGCGTCTATCAAGTTACGAAAACAAGGTCAAACCAACTCCATACAGTCATACGAAGCTGCGACCAGACCTAGGGCCACACCATCTGGCCACAGTTTTTCACATCCGGGAAGCTTATCGGCACTTAGACGGGATTCATCCGTCACAAACTGTCGCGCTTGCACGGCAAAGCCATACTAAGACTGATGCTGATTGCTCATGAACTGGCATAGTTATTGGTAGATAGGAAGACCAATATGTGCCGTCCATTTCGATTTCCGACTCCTTTCGATGTACACAAGTGAGCTGTCCTCGTTTTCGCAACTTGTTCGTATTGTCAGGGCGACCTAATTAGGTACACCTTGTCCGAGGTTTTCTGATAATAATCATAGCTATTATAGTAGAGGACTTCGGAAAGTGCGTTCAATTAGGTCGCCCTGACAACCTGGGCAAGTTGCGAAAATGAGGTCAGATCACTTGCATATTTATGCTTTTATATCGCCAGATGCATCAGTAGCTGCAACTTTGCTTAGATGTTGCCTACCTTTAGAAATAACTACCTGATCTTCCGCTCTCAACGGGGCGGAAGTTGACAGAGTTTCCAGGAATATCTCGAGCAGTAACATTGTTATGGTGAGGTGTACTCCCCATATTTGGTTTAAGGTGATAAGTGAACTGGTCGTTGAATTTTTCCACAATTCTATGGGTAGGCATTACATTTCCATTGAATTTCACATAGCCCTCTCTCCCAGCAGGTATTTCCACTCCGGCTGAAGTAGACTGCAATTTCGACCTCGCCTGAACTGGCCTCATCAGCACCCCCAGCGGGGCTCTAACCATGACAGCTCAGCGTATGCTCTCGACTCGTTGGCCACTACGCCCGACAACCACTAGTTGCCTCCTTGATTAGAGAAAAGATGTGCATGTCAAGGAAGGCCAGGCATTTTACCATATCAGATTCCTTGGGGATGCGGTTGTCGATGAAGCAAAGTTATAGTTGCTATAGCATTCGACTACGCCGGCATAGAATGTGACGTGGCAAGTTGCCCAGCCTTCCTTGGGATGCACATTTGCCCTGTGAAACCATACTACTCACAGCAGTGTGGCGTGCACTGCACTACCATAAGCAGGGTTCGAGCCCCGCCGCGGATGCCGATTATACGATGAGGCGAGGTAGAATTTGCTGTCCACTCTTGCCTGGATGAGAATACCTTTAAGGAAAGCAAAGCTATGTGAAATTCACTGAAAGCATAAGACTTAATGATATGATTGTGGGAAAATTCAACTACCAGTCCCTGTCCTCATGTACAGTTTGTTAAAAAAATGCACTAGCTTTTTTGGTCAAAATGACAAAATTAAAACAGGTCGATATCATATATAAGATAGCTGTATTTTCTTTAATTAATTTACATTTCTGTTTTTTCTAAAAATAAGTTTAATTTGGACTATTTTATAGTTTTTTTAATTGTTTGCTAAAAAAATACGCACTACTAGTCATTTAATATTTTAATCGAAGGTATGAAGACCAAGATGGTGTGGGATTTTGTGTGTCGCAATCTCCTTTTGTTGTACAGAAGTTGTTTGACCTTGTTTCCGCAACTTGGTCATATTGGTAGGAAGACCTGGTTGAGCACACCTAGTCCTGAGTCCATTGTCTGCATGATCATTTCCAAAGTCGAACCGTGGACGTGGTACATTCCCAAACGTTTCGCCGGCATCGTCAGTGAGTATCGCCATTTTTAGCACCACACAACAACTCGTCAAGAGACAAGTGAAGCCGATCCTTTGACCAAACGTGTGCTAAACAATTGTGGTATCTCTCCTTCTGACCTGGGTTATTCGCGTTTCCGGTAACATCCTATCATGCCTTCACTAATACAATTTTTACCGTGTTTATTTATATAGTGTGGTGTGCACCTTTGAGCGACATGAAACCTTCACACTCCAACTGTAGTTCACACCCCCTCTTCATCCTTGTGCAGGTAATGTTGATCAGAGTCTGCTTTATTATTACGCAGTCCTCTTTCCTAGTCTTATCCCAGTCTCCCTCTTATTCCGTAAAATCCATCTACTCTACCACTTGTTCACATATTTCACTCGACTCCTGTACCACATTTCCTATATCCTCCTATCACGCCTTTACTGTCACAATTTTTACCGTGCTCATTTTGATGTAGTGTGGTGTGCTCCTTCGAGTGGCATTCATGAAAACACTTCACACTCCACATTGTCGTCCTCACCCCTTCAATCTTGTTCTGGGAATGTTGACCACAGTCTGTTATATTGTTACGTAGTTCTTCCCTGGGTCCTATCAGAGTCTCTCTTGCCACGTAGAATCCGTCGGCTATCTCCCTGGTACACGTATTTCACTCGACCCTGTCTCCCCATCTGTGCTACTCGAGGCGTTATTCGCCCACCCCTGCGTACGGGTGACTAATTCGAGGCTAAAGCCTCTGAGTAAGTCTCATGGCCATGCCTTTGCTACATGTACCAGGTCTCTGGTACAATAGACATACCGTCAGCCAACTAGCTGCGGTCTCCACCGTCTCTATCCTGTTTCTATCCATAATGCTAAGTCTATGACTCGCCATGACCTAGTCTCTTGTGTGTCAATTAACCAATGTTGTGGTACAACTGGTTTTGATTTGATTCAATGTTGAACCACAAAATTTGTGGGTTGGCACACAAGAGACTAGGGCATAGAAAGTCATAGGCTTGGTATTATAGATAGATAAAGAGGATAGAAACAGTGGAAGCTAGAGCTAGTTGGCTAACAATGGTCGTGATTTAAGGATCACGTCTATGATCAAACACGTCTATTGTTAGCCAAATAGCTTTAGTCTCCACCACGTTCTTCCTAGTTCTATCTGTAATAACATGGTATTACTTGTAAATTGAATTATGCCTAAATAGGCAAGTAAGAAATTGTGATATTGAAGGTATGATACGAGGATGTATGAACTGTGAATACTCCGAAACACAAGGAGAGGTACCACAACTGTATAGCAGACAATTTGTTAAAGAATATACTTAACTTGTCTCTTTTGACGGATTGTCTTGTGGCGCTAATCTTGCTAAGAGTGACAGTCGTTGCCAGCTAGGCCTCTGGAAATGTATGAAATCCACGATCCAACGCTGGAAGTCACCAAACATGATATATTCCTTTAGGCCCCCCTGACAATAGGACCAAGTTGCGAAAACAAGACCAAACAGCTTTTATACAACGAATGGAGATCGCGGTCATACTAAAGACCACACCATCTTGCCCTTCATAATTTCGATTTAATTATGGTTATGATTCGTTTATAAGTAGGTTTCCAAGACTGCCAGTAGGTCTCATATAACAACTGTATTCATCCTATTTAATTTAAGGTGATGAAGGACTGGTAATTTAATCTTATCACAATGAATTTCACATAGCCTTGCTTCCCGAAAATAATTCCCATCCAGAGTGGACAGGACTGCATTTTCGAACTCGTCTGGGTCTTTTCAACACCTCAAGCGGGAGTCGAACCATGCGAGTGCAGCATGTAATCATGACGCTTTAACTACTATGCCACATTGCTACAAGTGCCTTTGGGTCACAGTGCAAAGTGAATTTTACGGAAGCCCAGGAATTTTCCCATATCTCATTCTGTGGTGGCATTATCGATAAAGCAATTGACTCCATTACTTATTTTTTTGATGTTGTTTGACCCTGGTTTCGCAACTTGATCATATCAGCAAAAGGATCTGAAGGAACGCACTTTGTCCGGAGTCCATAGTATGCATGCTACTTTCCAGAGTCACACCGTGGACTCGGTACATTCCCAGACCCTTGAAATGATCATGCATACAATGGACTCCAGAAAAGGTGCGTTTCTCTAGGTCTAAGTTGCAATACCAAGGTCAAACAACTTCTATACAACGAAAGGAGAAGGCGGCCACACAATTATCCACATCATCCTGGTCTACATACCTTCGGTTACTTATTTTTTGTTTATAAGTAGGTCCTTCATTACCTTAAATGAAATATGATGAATTCATATCATGGTATGATCTACTATAAATGAAAAATAGATAGCATAGTCGATTGCTATAGCAAATACACCATTGCTTTATCTACAATCCCACCACAGAATGTGATATGGGAAAATGCCTGGCCTTGACATTCACATCAGTCCTGTGACCCAGGAGCACTCCTGACAGTGTGTCGTAATGTTTGACGTGTCGAGATTATATACTGCATTATCACAGTTCGAGTCCCCTTGTGGTTGGTGATGAGACGAGTTCGAAACAACAGCCTACTGCCTCCTGGATGCGAATGCCTTTTGTGGAGCAAGAATATGCGGGAAAATTTAACTGCAAGTCCTTTATCACCTCAAACGAAATAGCGTGAATACATTCCATATAACTGATTTACTGGTAGGCCCGAAATCCTGCTTATGAAAGTTTAAAAATCCTAACAGGATACGCAGGTAAATTGAGATGAGCCGTCTGCATTATGATTACATAGTTGCAGATTGCACTCTTATGTATGAAGGCCAAAGTTACTTGCAGTAGTAATTTATCTAGAATGAAGCAGATAGGCAAAACTAATTATGTTGCTATACCTAATATTGTCTGAATGACAGGAATTACCATAGTAGCATTATCAAATACCAAACTTTTAGTTATCTTTTTAATTGTCATGTATGCAGGTGGACAATTATTTAACTAATTGATGTGAAAACCTTGATGATGTAGTTCTTTCCTTGTATTATATCCTTTGCCATTCTAATTACTTTTCGATGTTGAACAAGATTGATTATAGTTGCCTAGGTGGTAGTTAATGATAGCTTCCTCGTAAAAGTAGCATTCTTTTATAGATGATGTATATTAAACCTAAATCACGTCAAAATCAGATACGCTTGAGTAAATGGTCGCCTTGATCAGACCTGACGGAATACACTTAATCCACAACTTAATTCGTACATTTGATCGGGTACCGAGTTTGCTTTCATTCGTGCGATAATTTTGGGCTTAAACCCACGATAACTACATGTTACTATCACAATGCTATTGAGATTTGACAAGCTGTTGTTCACTCGGGATGAATGGTCCGTCAAAATGTAAATTTAAAAGGCGTTAAGAGTCATTTCTATACTGAAGACCATACGGATAAAATTTTATATATATATATATTTATATATATATATATATATAGTTTCGAGATTAAGGAAGAATCCTTGCCTTATATATTAACAGACTTACTATGTGGGGTTAGAGTTTGATTCCCTTTGAACTAATTACTGGTAACTAGGACCGACTTAAATTAGACTCCAATCAGATGCTGGCCCATTTTTGGAATACAGAAT